GCCAAGGGTAACCTTGGATTTCTAATCTTCCTGCCTCTACCCATCATTGCTGAGATCACAGACCTACCAACATCCCTGGCCTTGGGATTCTGATTTTGCAGCCTGCCCTCTCTGCATTCACAGTGTAAACCCCATGCTCCCGGAGTGGGTGTCCACTGTGACTGTGACCTCGGCCTATACTTGGTGTCACAAAGCAAGCAGGAGTTTACAAACCTTAGGGCAAGGGCAGGCAGAGGACAGGCTACTGGAAGAGGCCCTCAGGAGGGTTGAAGGCAGGTAGATATCTGTCTTCTTAGGGAACTGTTTTCTCCCAGTGCCCTTGGGGCAAGCAGGGCAGGCTGTAGGACCACCAAGCAGTGGACCCTAGGCTGCTTGGGCTAAGAGGAGGGTGCAGCAGCATTGGCTTGTGTGGGTCATAGAACCCCCTCCTCCCTGCTTCACCTCATTATCTTCCTTTGTTGGTGTCCTTCTCATTTGCAGCGTGGACCTGGTCCATGCTCAGATTCACGTGTCTGAGGGCCGGAGCCTGCCTGACCTGGGCCTGCGGCAGGAGAACATCCGCATCAATGGCTGTGCCATTCAGTGTCGAGTCACCACGGAGGACCCTGCACGCAGCTTCCAGCCCGACACTGGGCGCATTGAGGTAGGTGACGTATCAAAAGTTGACACCAGCTCCAGCCTGGGCCGAGATTCTTCACAGCCTCTCCATGGTGTCCAGGTTGTCACCCAGGAGTCCAGGTGCAGCTGCTTAGAGAACATGGGAGCCCAGTACTGTCCTAGAGTATGGAAAGGGCATTCCACAGAAAGCTAGCAGAAAACCAACAGATCACCTGGGAATCGGGGCAGACCAGCTAGGGACAGTTGTGGGCTCCCATATGTGAAGCTTTGTTCCTGGTGCCCTGCTGGTCTCTACCCTGCCTTTTGTTAGGGGTGAGCAGTGACTGGCAAGGCAAGACCTTGTGGGGAGCAGAGGATTGTGGTCTCTGTGGTAGCACGAGTCAAACAGAAGGTGGCCCCTTGGACATAAGCAAGAGTTCTTCAGAGGGCAGCACTGAGGGACTGAGTTTACCTCAGCTCTCTGCCTGTTGTCCTCATCAGGGTTGGTGCCTTTGGGCTAAGTTGCCTGTCCCTTGCATTCCTTATCTGTGGCTCCAGCCTGCTCCCTCCCCATGCATGTTGGCAGCACTGCCTACTGGTCAGGGGATGCAGGACATCAGAGGTACTCAGGGCTGGCACTGGTGTCCAGGGTACAGGTGCAGCAGTGATGAGCATGAACCAGACTCCAGAACTACAGAAATGTCCAAAAGTAGCATGATTGAGTAATATGGCCGGGACGGGGTGCTAGGTCAGTTATGATGACATTGAGAGCCCCAGGGTCCCCATAGATGACCACCAGCGTTCCTTTCTGAGTCCCTAGGTAGGGCAGCCTTGGATTGGTGCTGCCTTGTAGCCCTGGTGGAAAGGGGCAGCTGATGGCCTGGGGCTCAGAAGCTGGCTCCTGGGCTATACTGTTTCTCTCAACCTCCGTGGCCAGGGCCTGACTTTAGAGTCGGTCACCACAAGGTATTTTTAGTTGGTGGTTCCTGCACACAGCTGAGTGTCCATCCTTAAATATTGCATGAAGTTCTTCTTTATTGAACACAGCTTGTGCCCTTAGCAGCCGAAGGGTGATGCTGAGGGTGTTCCCAGGCCAGTCCCCCTGGCCTCCTCTCCCTTGAATTCTCTGTGAACCTCAGCTCCCTCACCTGCCCAATGCCTATCCTGAGCACTCACCTGTGTGTGCAAATATAGGTGCCCCAGCTAGCCCAACCCCATCCTTGTCAACATTTCCCCTCTACTTGCCTCTCGTGTTTCCTGGATGAGCTGGGTGTGCCATCTCCCTGTCTCCTTCCTTCTTCTCGGCTCTCTCCCACCCTCTCCTTCAGGAAGCAAGAGTGTGAGTAGATACTAAGTTCTTCCCCTTCCTCTCTCATTAAAAACAAAGCAAAACAACAAAAAAAATGCCAACAAAAACAAAACAGCCAGGTGGTAATGGCGCACACCTTTAATCCCAGCACTCTTTGAGTTTGAGGCCAGCCTGGTCTAGAGTGAGTTTCAGGACAGGCTCCAAAGCTACACAGAGAAACCCCATCTCAACAAAACAAAACAAAAAGCCTGAGTGTGGTGGTACACACCTGTGACTTCAGCACTCTGCAGGCAGAGGCAGAAGAGTCAAGAGTTCAAGGCCAGCCTAGGCTACATTGTAAATTCAAGCTGGCCTGAGCTACAGAGTGGTATTTCAAAACCTGGAAGGAAAACAAACCAACCAAAGCCTTCCTTGGTCAGTCTGCCTGTCTCCTTGTCTTGCTTGTGACCCTATGGTTTGTGTGCTTCTGTCTGTCCTAGGGCTGTTTTGTCAGGGTCTGCTTTAGCTGCTTCATCCCCAGTGAGAAACTGATAGTGCTTATTGCTTGCTGCTCCTGGAATGATGGTGGTCACAGAATGGGTCTGCAAGAAGGGAGGGTGAGGCCGGGCAGGAGGTAGAAGGTCTGTGGGATCTGACCCCTCCCCACCTAGGCTGCTGACTGGGCTCTGCATGAACTAGGAGCCTTGCCAGGCATTTCCTCCCCTATCCCCTCCTTGTTGCAGCACAAGAATGAATTCATAGGACTCAGAAAGTCTGTGGTCTGAGTGTACTGGCAGAAGTAGGAACTTGACTGATCAGGGACGGACTGTCTGGGTACCCTTGAACTCAGCCCTCCAGAGGTCATGCTGGGAGCCGTTTACTCCCCAATTTTCATCCCAGCCGCTGACTTGGTTTTCCTTCTGGCGACAGGTTTTCCGGAGTGGTGAGGGCATGGGCATCCGCCTGGACAATGCCTCTGCCTTCCAGGGGGCTGTCATATCACCCCACTATGACTCTCTGCTTGTCAAAGTCATCGCCCACGGCAAAGATCACCCCACAGCTGCCACCAAGATGAGCAGAGCCCTGGCTGAGTTCCGTGTCCGAGGTGTAAAGGTGAGAGGTGCCTTCCGCTGCCTTTGCCCACAGTGGGTCCATGTGGTCATGTGCTAACAAGGGGCAGGGGTGCTGCCTGTCTTGTCCTCGCCTTGCTTTACTGAGGGGCTCTTAGCCTCAGTGGCACAGTAATCTCTTCTAGCTCTTCTCAGACTGCTGGTGCCAGGACTCTGCTGGGTCTCAGTCTAAGCCTGGATCCCTGAGCAAGAGCTCTGGCCCTGACAGATGAGGTCAGACCCTCTGCCAGTTCCCAGCTCTCCTGGCCTGGCATCTGGAGTGACAGATGCTTCACAGTAGCCAAGAAACATATAACAAGGGACAGGGCTCTGGCCACAGTGGCTGCCTGACACCAAGGGCCTCGAAGTGCCCATTACCTCCTTGTGGGCTCTATTTGTAACTAATTTCTTTCTTTCTTTTTTTTTTTAGTATTTATTTATTTACTATGTGTACAATATTCTGCCTGTGTGTATGCCTGCAGGCCAGAAGAGGGCACCAGACCCCTTTACAGATGGTTTGAGCCACCATGTGGTTGCTGGGAATTGAACTCAGGACCTCTGGAAGAACAGGCAATGCTCTTAACCTCTGAGCCATCTCTCCAGCCCTTTGTAACTAATTTCTGCAGCTAGAGACAAATCCATAGCTGAGAAATGTTATTCTGTCCTTTGAAGCCAGCACCTGCTCACCTATCCTGTGGGGCACCCCTGGGCATGGGCTTAGACCCCCAGCCCCTATTGAATTCCATCCCTCCTCTTCTAGAAGCTCCATTGGGTGCTCTGGTCATGTGGGCAGTCCTGGGTGCTGGCCTCCCCCTATTATTTGTGACCTCTTGCAGCCCTCGATTGCTGTTCAAGCTTGGTGGCTCGTGGGCCCACTGTGACAGTGTTGTCCCTGTGGTGGCCAGTCATTTTTCTCACTGTCTATAGGTCCTGTCAGTGACAGTGGGCTCAAAGACCTTTTGGAAAATCTTGTGGAGAGAAGAGATGTTTTGAGCCTGTCCTGTGGGGTGGGGTAGAGCAGCCTGTCTCCCACAGCCCACCTTGAGAGGGGTCAGTGCTTTCTAGATGCTAGGGTCTGCATTCTGCTGTTCAAAGCTCACAGGCTCTGTTGAAGTCCCTGTCACCCTGAGGGCAGAGGTATGCTGTAAAGTCAGCTCCCTACATCCTGGATCCACTGCCTCATGCTCTGGGGCCTGTCTCTCCTGTGGCTAACCAGGGATGAGAAGGGTCTTGGGGTACACATTGGGCTGTCCCCAGGTTTGAGGTTTTGCCCTGATACCTCTGCTTATTTTCTCTACCTGTTAAGCCAGGTACCCTGAGTCACACAACCTCATACACCTGTCCTATATCCCAGTGGGATCAAGATCCCAGCATGCTCTTCCAAGGGTGAGAATAGGGACAGCAGGGTCCATGACCACAGGAACAACAACAGAATCTGGGGCCTGTGTCTGTCCCTTCCTGCCTACACCCTACCTTATGTTCGCCCTCTTCTATGTCTCCCATCTCTCGCTTATTTCCCTCAAGGGCCTTAAACTAGCATTTCTCTAGGTCCTGCCCAGGTTGTTTTGGTGCCAGGAGACTGGGTGTGTGTAAGCTTGGCTGCACACCGTGGACACACGGTAGAATGCTCTCGGGCTGCATGGCAAGTCTGGGATGCCAGTGTCTACTGCACTTTCATTAAGCACAGGTGCCCACCCATGCAGGACGCATCCACGGGTGTGGTGGGGCCCAGCCAGGCACCAACCCACCCAGCACACAGCTGTGAATATTACAGCAGCCGGGTGGGCTATCTCACACAGGACCTTCCTGTCAGTCCTGTGCTCATACCTGCCTTCAGGCAGGGTTAGCAGATGGCAGTTTTTGACTACTGCCCTGGGCTTCCATCTCTGCTGGGCCTGGCAGCTTTAGCCGTGACACCTGGACTAGGCTGTGTGCCTCTAACAGTCTCCCTCCTTCCCTCCCTCTCTCCCAGGAACCAAGCAGAATGAGAGCAAAGACCTACACCAAAGTGTCCCCAACAATTTTATTATAAATAGAAACAAGACTCCCTCTTGGTGGCTGCAGCCCCTGCCTTGGTGGCTCTGAGCACCTGTTGGTGGGACCTGTCCCTTTAGTCTGGAGGCCAAAACCAAGGAAAGGGCTTGCTGTCCCACCAAGTACTTGAGGAGCCTGAGGTACTGAGGATAAAAAGCAGAATGGGGCCCAGGGCCGTGCTGCCCACCCAGGCTGGGTGCTGCCACCTGGGCCCAACAGTGGCACTGCTCCTTCCTCAGGGCACGAGAGGCTGCCCTTCCTGTCACACCACACTCTCCTCCAGCCGCTCTGTACTGCCCCCCACACCCCGGCACCCAGCTCCCAGCAGCCCCCCATGTACAGAGTGGCTCCGCCGGGCCCAGGCTCCTCCCAGGCGCCTAGCATACCCGTAGCACCCACCAGTGTCTCCCAGGTCCAGTGAACAGCTGCGCTGGGGACGGGGTGGAGGGCTCCGTGGTGGGTGGCTCTTGGGCATGGGGCTGGTGCCACCATTGGTCTGGGATTGGACATGGCTGAGTTTGAGTGGGAGGCGGCCATTCCCAGCTCCCCGGCCCCGAACCAGCAAGGCCACAGTAAAGACCAGTAAGGCAGCCACTAGGACCCCCCCCCACTGCCACAGTCAGGGTCCCGCCCAATACATGGGCCTGTAGGGCATGGCACAGGGGTGTGGCTGGTAGCGTAGAGAAGTGGGCACAGCCCAGCAGTCTGGTGGCTGTGAGGTCGGAAGGCCCAGCAGCAGGTGACAGGGCCAGCAGGCAGAGGTCGTAGTCAGCACCAGGAACCAGGTGCTTCAGCAGGAAGTGGTGGCTGGAGGCTGGCACGATCCTGCAGGCAAGGGCAGGTGGTCAGAGCCCCAGGGTGGGGTACAGCCCCCTTTCCCATCTTTCATGTTTTCCCTAGACAGCCCCTCAGGCCTGTAAGACTGTCAACACAGGCCTGTGCTCCCTCAGGAAGGCAGAGGTGACGACAAGCATCTGTGTCAGGGCACAGACGGGTGTGTGCACTGAATAGGCCTCAGGCAATAGGAGTTGGGACAGGGTAGCACCAAGCAGAGACTGAAATACCCTAGGGTGGGGGGCAGGTGCTTCAGCAGATACCCAAACTGCTATTACTGATGGTTAGGAAGGCTGGTGCATACACAGCACACCTGAGACCCCTTATCAGCAGCTGCCCCCTTTCTCTGCTCCAGGCAGCAGGCCCAGCCATGCTCCAAGAGTTTAGAAGTAGAGAAGGAGCAGGCACAGGCCTGGAGGGGAAACAGGCAGGACTTGGGGACAGAGGGTCAGCAGGGGGCACTGGGAACAAAGCAGGCTGAAGGGCGTGTGCAGGCCCGTCCTCACCGGTAGATGAGGGTCTCATCCTCGCTGCTGTTGTACTGGATTTGGAACATCCACACTGGGTCAGCTGGCCGCCCTGGGCCCCAGCTCACCAGGCCAGAGGTGGCAGTCACCTCCGTCACTTGCACGACTGGCTCAGACTCTAAAGTCCCCTCGCCTTCGGCAGCAGTTCTAGCAGAAGCAGCAATGTCCGAGGGCCCTGGACGGCCTCCCTCAGCACTGGTGTTTCCACCATGGGGCAAGGCCAACACCCGGAGCTCTACTCGGGCTGTGGCCTCACCAGCAGGGTTAGTGGCGATGCAAGTATAGGCTCCTGCATCTCCTGCGCCTGTCACCCCAATCTCTAGGGTCCCGTTGGGGAAAGCCCAGGCTCGAGAGGAATTGCCAACCAGCCGGTCATCAGGGCCAACCCAGTGCATGGTGGGCACAGGATCACCAAGGGCCCTGCACCGTAGAGTGGCTCGCTGGCCCTCTAGCACCCACAGGCGCTGTGTGTGGCGGGCAATCAGTGGAGGCTCACAGGAGAACTCTCCCTCTGGCACTGCCCAGAAGTAGCGGCCTGCCAGGGTTGGTGGAGAAGCGCAGGTTTCCAGGTCATCAGGCCGGGCCAGCCGCCGCAGCCACAGCAGCTCACAGTTGCAGTGCAGTGGGTTCCCACTGAAGCTCAGCACGAGGGGGGAAGGGGAGGCCTCGGCGTCCCGACCGCGGGAGAAGAGTGGATCAGGCGCCAGGGTAGCCAGGCGGTTGGAGGTGAGGTCAAGGCGGGAGAGTTGGCTAAGCTGGGCAAAGACACCTGGGGGTAGTGCATCGATGAGGTTATGGTCCAGGTTAAGGGTATGCAGGGCAGGCATGGCACCTATGCCAGCCCAGGGAACCTGCCGGAGATTGTTATAGGACACATCCAGGTCCTCCAGGCTGTCGAGGAAGTCATCAAAGGCCCCTGGCGCAATGCGGCCTAGCTGATTGCCACTGAGAATGAGGTGCTGCAGGTTGACAGGTCCCCGAAGGCTGCTGCTGCCCAGCTCCACCAGCCTGTTGCCATCCAGGTGCAATGAGCGCAGGCTCTCCAGGTCCCCAAAGGAGCGGGCCCCGATGCGGGTGATGGCATTTCGAGACAATGTTAAGTCCACCAGCCCTGTCATGTTGCGGAAGTCAGGTGGTCCCAAGGCCTGGATGAAGTTGTCAGCCAGGCGCAGTTCAACTGTGCGCCGGTCCACGTTGGGTGGCACAAACAGCAGGCCTCGGTGGGCACAAAGGGTGCTGAGCGACTCCGACAGGTTCTGGCACACGCAGGGCAGCGGGCAAGCGGCAGCTCCACTGGCCAGCAGCAGCAATAGGAGCGGCGGGGCCATGGTGAGCGCCCTGTGGGAAAGGGTCACAGCCCCAGGCACAGGTGGGGTTAAGGCAAGTGCCCACTTGTGCCTAGGGCACGGTCCCAGGAACCAGTTTCCAGAGTCTGGGCTGGGAAGGGTTGGGTAAGAGGCTCAAGGAGGACCCCAGGGAGAAAAGATGGCTGGGGCTGCTGGCTCAGGCCCCCCCAGAGTAAAGGTCACATTTCCCAAGCAGTTGAAGAGAGTCCAGGTACCAGAGACAAGGTGAGGCATGAGGCAGGAAGTGGAGGAGGGCCAATAGCAGGGAGGGTCCCGGAACTTCCTTCAGGCATCCTCGGAATGGCCAGCCCCCTCCCCCCTTCGCTCCTTCCCCTTCGTGGCTGAGGACTGCGTCGTTCCCCCCCACC